CCGAGGCCGGGGTTCTCATTTTTTTCCTAGTTCCTCTGTGCTACAAATGGCCGTCGTATAGGCTTCCGTGTTCATACAGAATGTGTTCGATACAACAATGTTGAGCATGTAGCTCTTCAAATGCCAAGGTCTTCAGCGCGGGCACTATCTGTGCACTGCTGTGCACTGCTGGTTTGCCGCAAAACGCGCCACCTGAGATCGAATCGAATCGACCACCAGTACGGGCCGGGCCAAACCGACTCCAACGAGATGGCGCATCAGCGGTAGTATCGGTCTGCTCGGTGCCGGAGTGTTAGTCATGACATTCTGTGATGGAGCCTGCGGTGCGTGCTGTTTGTAACCAAAACCTAGACTGCCGGACGGCAGTCAAATGAGTCAATGGGTTTAAATCGCGTTCTAGCACTCGTCGTCTCTTATCAGGTAGAGACGGAGATAGAACAAAGGGGGTGGCATAGGGCTACTGTATGTACCTCCACAACACAGGCAGCCGGTCAAGTCACTCCGCACGTACACACATGAAACCGACTTTGCTGGAGATATCATACCTTTCCGAGAAACTGGAAGAACATGGAAGGCGTGATCCAGGGCTCCAGCACCATCCACGACCCAAGGTTAACCCCTCGAAGGTGGTACCCGTTGGCCGCTTTGATGTCCACATCCTGGCCGAGTACCGAACAATAAGCAATTGTTCAAGGGAGGCGGGAGACGCCAATGAGATGCTCTTGACGGCGCAATTGGTCGTCGGATTCACTGCTGCTTTGCTTCCAACGTCGCAGTAGCAGGCAAGAAGGGGGCTATGGAGAAGCAGCCCTCCTACTGCTGTAAGGACCTTTCGCATTTCTAACTAGTGTTTTGGTAAATTGCGCACGCACATCCTCCAACTTTTACCGGCAGCTGCCACGCTTTCATCGCGAACAGCACCGAATTTGTTCAGCGTCTTCGGGGCGACCCCTCGCCCCCAGCCTTACTATGAAGACGAGGACGCTGATCGGCCGACAGTACTGCAGACGGTCAAGTCCGGAGATAGACCAATCGTCACAAAAAGATCTCTACTCAACAGTAGTACATGTGGTAGTACTGTTTGACAATTTGTCAGTCCCTGGGCAACAAAGCGCATGCGCTGCTTTTCAAAACAGAAACAGCTCTGATTTTTTGTTTGTTTTGCCTTCAGACAAATGCAGATGTACCTCAGAAAACTTTCACTTAATGTTTCATTGTTGTTGTTGTTGTTGACTTCACATTAAACCGTATGCCAGTTGCTAAATGCCAAAATCTAGCAAAGACTCTCAGCCCGTGGTCACGAGAGTGCTGGAGCCATCTGAGGATTTAAAGAACACGCACACGTAGCAAGAAAAAGGTGTACAAGAGCCCGAAGAGGTACTACTACACCTATATATAATCCCTGCAGCACCGTACGCGTGCCCAAAACTGAACTACACGTCCGTCTCACCGTTCGACTACAGCAACATCACCCCCTACCTGTCCCACTCTGTACCAAAACGAATGATTGCCGACTACAGCATACTTGCTGTCTGAAGTGCTGTCTGTACAAAAACACCATGGTAGGCATGGAACAAGAAGCTGGCGGGGCACAAAGCTGCTGTCTGAAGTGCTGTCAGAATGTGTCTGCGGACGTACAGTGAAAAAGAACAACCAACCAAAGCCATGATTGCAATGGACAATCACCCGAACCTCTCCCGATCGTCTGTGTTAGGCACGCAGTGAAAATATCGACAATAGCTAAGAATCGTTCCACATTTGAAGGGGTCTTCCACGATCAGGCACATAACCAAGGCACCCGGGTTAGCCACGCCATCTCTGACGGGTCTCTCTACAAAACCAGTGACGACGTCATCACATAGAACCAACACCGAAAATCAGGAAAAAAACGAGAAAAATTGACAACACAGATCAGATATAAATGTTTGTCCGTGCGCCACGGGTCGATGTCGCCCGCATGCTCCGGTGCCGCTGCTCCGTCCGGCGCCGCTGTAGTCAGCCCGAGCATAACGCCACTCGACCTGCTCCGTCCGTACACGCTCTCGTTGCTGTCCTTCCCAGTCGGTTCCTCGCTTTCTCCCTCGTTGCACTCAAGGTTCTTGGTCTGAAAAATAAAAATTCTCGCGCCGAAGGGGTCAACCAGCCCAGTTCAGCTCGTCGCCACCTGCTCCCTCCTCCTTTGATGGCGAAGCCAGGTTACTGAGGCAATGCAGCGCCCTCTAGCCAACCTAGGGCCGTGTACATAGTTCCCGTCCACCTTCTGACGGTGTCTGCCTCCGCGCACAAAAAATGAGATGGGCATCGCTGCCTACGCCGACGGCCAGAGGCCCGCGCATCTACATTTTTTCGCCTGACCCCATCAGTGCCGACCCAACTACACCACCACGCGCATGCCTCGCGGCCGATATGCGCAGCAGCAAGAAGGTTTCGGTCATCCCTTGAGGGTGAGTCTAGCCCTGCTCGCCAGAAAGACCCCCCCCTTCACTACAACCCATTTTCATACTCTACATGAAAATTAAACCAATTCGAAGTACAACAACATACTCCATTTTTTTTTTTCTAATGTCACCTACATCGTAAAAATATCTCCTCTTCAATTTGAAATAAAACCTATGACAATCCTCTTGGTATCCTACATGCGTTCGTAAGCTTGCTAAAATACTACTGCGTTGAAATTACGGTATCCCACCAACCATCGCTCGCTTGGTGTAGCGAGACGCTGCCATTGCAATGTGCGTAGCTGGCCTGCTGTCCGTGGGCTCGCCGCGTACGTTGCGTTGCGGGTGCCAGGTTATGATCGACTTGCTGGTGTGCATTTTGTTCCGAAACCTACGCTACGGCACGCTTGAAGAAGTTCATGCGTTGTGGCAGCTGCAGCAGCAGCAGTAGCAGCAGCAGTACTGCAAAGATAGAGTGCACGCATCCATGATTGGATTACGCATGATGATCGACCTGTGCCTGCTGCTCTGTGCAGCTCTTTTCTTGTCTCTCCAACTGCCCCCCTCTCTGAGATCAATGACGCGCCTATTCGGCTGCTTTCGATGCAACCTCCACTAATCACAGATCAAAAGCACGCATAGCAGAGACGGTGGCACGCGACTCTCATCGCTATCCAGCCCAGTGCACGCTTTTCGCACATGGATCCATCCATACCTCGCTGGCCTCGCATTGCCATTTGGCGTTGATAGAGACAGGCTCGTTCCTGCCGTCGTCCTGTAGCCTGCGGCTGCTGCTGTGAAGGTTGACCTTAGAGTTCATGTGGCCCAACGCCGGGCCAATTAGAGCACAAAGCCCCAAGGCCGCTACGTGCGAGCATCTTGGCGTCATCTGGGTGACCCGGCCTGCTACAGCAGCAACAGCTGTAGGCACACAGGTGCCAGGTGGGTGTGTGGTCTTTCGATTTGCTTCTTGGCGTTGGCTGTTGGGGGCATCGTCATCGGTGGGATATGAATTTTCAAAAGTTACAGATGTTGATGTTCTTGTCTGGGTGCCCCCCGCTTGCTTCTCCACCGTCGGCGGTCGGCAGAGCGGAAGGAGATAAGTCTGGTTAGGTCAGCTTGTACGACACTCCACTCCACGCAAACCTCGTCACGCTGTGCCCGCCGACAGCATTCGCTTCTTTCAAGCCAGGCAGCCGGAGACAGCCCAAATCTCCGCCAAAAAACGTGTCTGAGATATAGCACAGCAGTCGACCACTACCACGACGAAGCCGCGATGAGAGCCGCGCATCGCTTGACCACGTGCCTAGCAGCAGCACTGCTTCTGGCTTCAACCGCCAACGGCAGCGTCGAAGTGCCCCGAAGACCAACACCAGACAAAGGAGCAAAGGGCTTGGCCGAAAAGCGCACCCCACGGGGAAGAACACGCAACAACGACGGCGTTCAAATCACGACCGGCGGCGGCGGCGGCGGCAACGCTTGTGCGGTGGACGGCTGCCGCGGCCAGGATGCTTCCGCAGCAGGTGCAACAGGCCACGACGTTGGTGACATGGCTGGGAGCTACGCCGAGAGCGAAGCTGACGGTAGTGGTGGGGTGGGTATTGCAAGACCGGTGGAGGTGAGGGTATGATGCCTTTGCGTAAGGTGTTTTGTGTGTGTAAGTTGACGTGTCATGTAATGAACGGCAACCAGGCACCGCCGCTGGGTGCTGGTCAGAACGAAGCAAATAGATCGCCGCTGCGCACCTCATGTTTGCGCGCGCATGGTCTTGAGACCCGCAACGCCGCCAGTGCAAGCCTTCGGACAATGGATGCCCGCTCTGTTGACTCCTATGGGCGGTGATGTGGGTGGTTTGATGACACGCTGGTGCCCAAAAACCGCTTGCCCGCCCCTCTCTCGAACACGTGTTTTGGATATGGTGCGCTGGTAACGGTCGAATCATGATCATCATGTCTAGTTTTTGTGCACCTCGAGCTGTTGGCGCTGTCATCGAAACAGCGGGGGGCAGGTTAGAGATGAGAAGCTGCCAATCGAGTCAGGTGTGCGTCATATTCCACGTTTCAAGCTTGTCTACTGGTGTTGAATACTGCACGCTTTTAATGCCCCGCCCTTTGGTCTCTATCGAAGGTCGATGGTGAATGATCGTCGTGTCCCTGTAAACTCCGGGCGAATCGGGCACACCGCGAAACAGCCCGGGACCCACGGCCAAACAGCCCGTGTGTGTATCGCTTACAGACGCTCACCGACACAGCGTGCGCAAGCCGGCTTAGCCGTTACAGGAAGGGCTCGGAGCGAACTACTTTTGTTTGGTCTGGGGACTCGAGAAGCCCGTATACCTACTGTAAATGTTACGGGGTTTCAAACAAATCTACATATCTAGGCAAAGTAACCAATACTGTTGCCCCCTTTCGTCCGCTGGGTGGCCTCGTCGTTTCGTAGGTGCGGAGAGGTAACGCAGCGGCGACAGCGTCCTCCCACACAGGCTTTGGGCACCACCAACCTGTCACCCAACAGGAGAGAAAGCGATGGACTGAGCGACCAACAAGCTTGGCATCAGCAGGGATGTCGGCGCCATCGCCGACAGCAAAGCCTAGCGCGTGGACGGGCGGCAAGGCACAACCAGGGAAAGCTGGCGTGGCAACATCGGGGGTAAGGGCAGGGGTCAGGAGCAGGGGCGAGGAGGTAGGTGGGGGTGTGATCCGGCGGGAGGCCGAGGCGACAGCATCGTCACCATTATCATCACAGGCGACGGGCGCGGAGGTAAACGCCGTCCAGTCCGCATCACCGGCGGTGGCGATGACCGGCGAGACGTCCTTGGAGAGAGATGGAGGCGTTGTCGGGGTCGGGGGTGCCGTCGAGGTCGTATCCGCCGTCGGGGCGAAAGAGGCGGCGAGGGGCGTTCCTTTCGTGGAGCCGATCTGTCGGGCAGACCCGTCGCGCTTCGTGCTGTTCCCCATCAAGCACCCGGAACTGTGGGACATGTACAAGAAGGCCAAGGCTAGCTTCTGGACTGTCGAGGAGGTCGACCTCAGCCAGGTTTGCTTTGATGTGCTTGGTTGTTGATAGAGCCGCTCGAACCGAACGGTCTCGTGTGCCTGTGCCAAGGCCGCTGCATTTGTCAGCTCAAGGGCAGTTGTTCGCCAACAAGTTGGTCAATAACTTTGCGCCTCGCTCAGGTTTGTTTTGTCGTTGTGGGGTATTCGCGGCCTTATTGCACACATGTCCGCAACATTGGCCTACGCAGGCCAACGCAGAAAGGATAGAGGTGACGTATGTAGTGCTCATCCGCAGCGCGTGGCATGCAGGACAAGCTGGCCTCGGCCGGCGTTTCTTTTTACCAGGTGGTGGTGGTGGTGGTGATGGTGGTGGTGGCGCTGTAGTCTGGTCCATGTTTTCGTGCTCTGTTGTTTGGTGTTGTTACTGCTGGGGTGCTGCTGTTGCCAGTGCTGCTGCTACTGCTGCTGCGTTGATTGACGGTGTTGTTGTTGGAATGCTGTACTTGCAGGACTCTCGCGACTGGGAAGCGCTGACGGGCAACGAGCAGCACTTCATCAGCATGGTCTTGGCCTTCTTCGCCGCGAGCGATGGGATCGTCATGGAGAACCTGGTGAGTACCGTACTATGCCGAATCAATTCAAAGACCCCCGACTTGGGGGTGGTGTACACCAACACCATGATGTTGATAGTTGCGGCTCATATCAACGCGGCGTTTGTGAATGCTTCCACCCTCGTGTCTCTGTGGATTACGCTGATGCAACAGCCCTAGCACGGCATGCCAACTGCCGTGAGTGTTTATGATCCGTCCGTAGAGATACCGTGCCTACCCGTGAAGAATTTCCACATTCATACGTGGCTCGTATTTTCTTCGACTCGCGAATGGGCCAGTAACTGGCGCCACAAGCCGATTGGGGCCAGGAGCAAGACACGCGATCATCTCAAGCGTGTAGTCCACTGCGGTATGTATACGGTCTGTACAGCGGTGTTTGATGACGGTCACTTGATGTGCTCCTTCCTCTGATCGTCGCTGGATTGTCCATGCTGGGTCGTGCGCAGGTGGAGAGGTTCAGCCAAGAGGTGCAGCTCCCCGAGGCCCGATGTTTCTACGGCTTCCAGATCGCAATGGAGTCGATACACCAGGAGATGTAAGTCGCAAAGACAAAAACAAAAACAACAAACGTAGACACACAAAACGGCTGCCAAAGTGTCTTGTTGACCCTGTTACCCACGAGGGAAATACCACTGCGTGCTGCTCGGGAAATCGTGGAAAGCACAACTTTCGCTAATGCAATGGATTCATTGCTAATCCATCTTACTGTAGACTATTTTCTTCGATAAAGGTGGATTCATTGGGTCATACTGATGGAATTTTAAAAACGTGAAATGCTCCACCAACGTGTGCATGCAATAACATTTGCGGACAGCAACTGATGGCTTATGTGTAAGATCACGGGAAGTTGATGCAAGCACCAGTCGAATCTCGTCAAGTCGTTGCCAAGCACGAAGACCTTTCGACACAACAAGCAGTGCTTACGCAAAATCGCTCGGGGCTGTGGACTGGTTCGGGCACATTTCCCTACGAGAGGCTAACTTTCCCCGCCCTTAATCTTTGTGTGCAGAGCTTTGAAAAGATGTTTTCAGTTGGCATGTGTCCTGTAGACTAGGACGTGCCTCGTAGTCTAATACTCCCTCGTTGGATCTTTGCTGCGAACGCCGCCGGGCTGCTTTGTAGTTCGCGCCCTGCCTCCGCATACACACGACTCTCGACCCTATGAAAATCCAAGTGTCGACTCGACACCGCTCTCGCCTCTCTTTTGCCGCATGAATGACGGACGTGGATAACGGTTTCGGTTGCGGAAATCCGAAGGTACGCTCTGCTGCTGGACACGTACATCAAGGACAAGCAGGAGAGAGATCACCTCTTCAACGCCTACAACGACATCCCTTGCGTCAAGCAGAAAGGTCGGTCGGTCGGGGACTCGCTGTTGAATTTCGAACTTGACGACGGCACCGTATACTGCAACAGCTGCCCATATCAAAACACACTGTATGCATCAAGCACAGACACGCCTTCAGTGCCCTGAACAAACGTGGTTTGTTTTGAGACATGAAAGAAGCAGTGGTGTTCGAAGCGAGGCGGGTTTGATTTCGCCGGTCGCTCTCGTGTGTTTCATTCTCTACAACGCAATGCGTGTCCTGTGTAGTACATTGGATAGGCAGGCGTAAACGGGCGAAGAGTTGTGTTTATCACTCGACATATGGAAAAGGAAATGAGCGCTTCTTGCCACAGAGGTCCTCGATTTTGGCTTTCTGGTTGCGGCATTTTTGCGACGAAGCCGGTCACGTGAATCCCAGACTTAATCCCCGACAGTCCGCTTCAGTAATGATGTACTCTGTTTCGGAACTGTTTTTTTTCCCTCCGACTTACATATGCAACCACACGCGCATGCATCTGTCGGTCACTCTTTTGTCCTGTTGGTCTGTACGATGGAATCCGTGCAGCTGATTGGGCGATGAGGTGGATCGGCAGCGACGCCACTTTCGCCGAGAGGCTTGTCGCCTTCGCTGCTGTCGAGGTGAATTCTTTACGAAAGAGTGACGATGAATGCCCTGCGGTAGAGGCAATTGCTTTAAGAATAGATGGAGATGATTGCGCTGCGGCAGAGGTGTGTGCTCTAAGCAAGAGTGCGGTAGAGATAAGTGCTTTATGAAACAGTGAAGATGAAGATGACGGTGCATGCACCGTTGATCATGTTTCATTGGTTCGGAGAGGAGCGGGTCAACAATTTTCAGGGAATCTTGCATGGAATTATTGATCGTCGTTGATACAGTTCCCGGTTGTCGAAGAGTTGACGCGAGATGTTGAGTCTACTTCCGAAACCAGTCCCGATTAATCTTGGACGGGAGCTTTAGAACATACACCCGCCGCGAATAGTTGCCTCTCCGTCTTACATGTTTGTTGATCTCGGCGTTAAGCACTGAACGTTTTCTCTCTCAGGCCGATGTTATTTCCGGCCGTCGCTCCCCTCTTCCATCTGCCCCACTGGTAGCGTCTCGACGAAAAATGCTCCACTCCCGGGTGATGTATTCCTACGATGTTGCCGCGTCCCTGCCCCCCGAAAAAGATCTTTTTTGTGGATCCAACTCTTCTGGGAACAAGTTTTTATGTGATAGTACGCGATACGTTCCGGCAGCGATGATTGTTACACACCACATGTAGCGACTTCCGGTGTATCAGAAGCATATCTCAGTATTTTTGCGAGATCATCAACTTTTCTTAGCACAGTGCACGTACGCAAACGTCGCCCCCTCCACCTCCCCAGACACCGTCAGTTCTAACCCCCCCCAACCCCCCTTGCTTCCCTGTTGTTGCGTTTTCAGGGCGTCTTCTTCTCGGGAAGCTTTTGCGCGATCTTCTGGCTGAAGAAGCGTGGCCTCATGCCCGGCCTGACATTCTCTAACGAGATGATCTCGCGCGATGAGGGGCTGCACTGCGACTTCGCCTGCCAGCTCTTCGCCTCCCTCGAGAACAAACCAAGCCGGGAGACGGTCATGGCCATTGTGAGCGAGGCTGTGGAGGTCGAGAAGAGCTTCATCTGTGGGGTGAGATATGGGGAGGGAGTGGCACGATGGGGGCATGATTTATGGACGGGGGTCCTGGTGCGTCGTTTTTTGATGGGAGAGGCTGCTGAGTGGGGGGGAGTGGGGTGACACGATGGGAGCATGATTCCATGGGGGGGGGCTCCTGTTGTGTTGTGGTTGTAAAGGGAGGCTGCCAGGGCCGAGACGTAGGTCACGATTGCGCCGCTTTTCTGTCTTGAGCCAGAGTCCTCCGGTCGTCTTATCAAAACAAAGATCTCGCGTAAGCAAAGGCTTGGTAGCCCCGCGGCCCCTGCTTGTTGTGCCATCACAGCCGTCGGTCTTATGTTGCTGTTGCTCGGCTTCTCCCCCAACGGTAGCTGTCGTCGGTGTGTCACTGTTATCTTTTGCCTATCGTGCCTCCTCCTCTGACCCGTTGCACGTCTTTGTCGCTCGTCTTCCCCCATGGCATGGCGGCGGTGGTTACGTCATGCTTCTCGTCCGGTGGTATCGTCATTCTGGCTCGTGGTTTTCAACTTCGCGCCAGGCCCTTCCCTGCAGCCTAATCGGCATGAACGCGGGCGTGATGTCGCAGTACATCGAGTTCGTGGCAGACCGCCTGCTGGGGTCTCTCGGATACGGCAAGGTACAGTACACCGCGCATGATTGAAGTTGTGGTTTCTTGCCCTCCACTCAAGCTACTTTGCGCTTCCAATTTCTCACGTCGCCCATGTCTTTGTGTGCGTGCTTGTACGGAAGGGTGACGTGAGTTGCAGTATCGCACGAAACGTTTTTCGAGTTAACATGCCTCCGCTCTTTGCCAAAAAGAGGCCTCTTCGATATGGTTGTCGTGATTTCCACAACATCGAGCAGCAGCTGCACCCGGCATGCTGGCGGTGAATTTGCAACAAGTTTATCATTTTTCACGCACGTTCTGGAGACGCTGATTTGTTCCTCCGTGGGCCGCGGGATTTGTCGAAACGGAATGAATAACAAGAAGAAATTGATTGCCTCGCTTTCCCGCCATTGTCAGAGCTACGGGACGCAAAACCCGTTCGACTGGATGGACCTCATCAGCCTGCAGGGGAAGACTAATTTCTTCGAGAAGAGGGTGGGGGAGTACCAGAAGGCGGGAGTGATGGGGGGTAGCGGGGGGCCCGGGGAGGACAGACGTAACTTTCGATTGGACGCTGACTTTTAACTGGGGTGGGTTATTTTCTAGCGCTCTCTCTCTCTCCCTCTTGCACATACCAACTCGGTCATGCGTTGTCTCTGCCGAAAGCAGCGCTTGTATGCGCAGGTAGTTTAATCGTAGTTGGCTGTGGCGTTTGGCGAGCCGTTTTTAACGATCCATCCGTCTGCCACGGCTATTTAGCTAGGAGAACGGCGCTCTTGTGATGCTGTACATGTAGGGTTTTCGGGATGATGGTGGGTGAAGGTTACAACGAAAAACCTTCTCGTTCGTTTTTGTCTTTTTTAAACTCGTTTTTTTTACTTTTCAACTTTTTTTTTGCGGGGGAGGGGGGTTGTTACGAGGCTGCAGGGTATAGGACAATTGCGTGAAATTGTCAAGTTGACCTGCGGCTTTTCCGTTGGTTCCGCGGGTCTTCTGTTCGGAGGAGGAGGAGAAGGAGAGATTCAATGTTTTACAGACGACTTGGCACTGGTGGTACCACCCCAACCCGACCATTGGTCTTATCCCTGACTAGTTTTTTTTTTTTCATTTTGTAGCCTCGGTCCGGGAGTCGGTCGTGCTTCTTTGAAGCCACATGTCGAAGGGGGTGTCATATGGCAGAGGGTGTAGATGTTGTCATGGTAGCAGTCGTGGTGAGGCGCTTCCTATCCGCCCTCTTTTGCCGGTTGTTTTTTATGTGCGACGTAACCACACCGAATGCCGATCTTTGCTACACGTGAATAGGCGTTGTCCATGATGGTGCCCTCACCAGGTCCCATCCCACCCTGTAGATGCACACTATTGTGCAACAGCTGTTCGTTTTTACGTACGAGATTCTACGGGATCTCCGAACGACAGGAACGGGGCGGTAAGATCAAGATTCACGCCCTCGAAGTATCGTACCGGGTTTTGTATTCCCTTTTTCTCTTGTGAACTCGTGTTTCCGATATCCGTGTTTCTTGTTTCCCATGGTATGTATCAGTTAACCCAGACAGGCTCATGCTACAATGATGCCGTAGTTTAGCAAAATTCGGCGATGACAAGACATACGCGGTGTGTGGTTGTGCGTTGCCTCTTTTCGAAGACCAACAAAAAAAAAAAAACTCCCTGGAAGGGTGGCTTACTGTGATACTAATTTTATTGTTGGCCAATCACCGCTCTGGGGGGGGGGACATGCGGGCAGCTTGTGTCTCACCCCGAGGTCAAGGCTGGGGTTTCACCAGTGATCTATGTGATGGCGTTCTTGCGGGGGGGTCCTGGGTTCCAGACCAACGGATAAAATCATCTCACGCGAGACGCCGGCTCTCGCCGAAAACGCCGGACGGGAGTCATGATGTTTTCTACGAATAGCAAGGGTTAAAACTGACTGATGTCACGTTGATTCACGGTAACAAGCGGTGCTGGTTGGATGGGATTGGAGCTTCGGAAAAGAAAAAGGGTGTCTGTCGTGAATGTGAGGGTGGATGTTAGGTGTACAAGGAGGTGGGGTTCCGTGAAATTCATTGCTCTTTTGTTGAGGGGTACGTGTGAACAATGCAGCAACGGGAGGCCATTAAGCATTCACTCGCTCTTCTTCACGGGCGAATGCTGAGTGTGTCAAGTTTTGACGAAAAGAAGCAATAAAAATGATGTTCAAACTGCGAAGAACTCCAAGAGAAGGTGAAGAGATGACATGGCAATGTTGTGTTGTTGGGGCAGCCATTGACGTCATCAGACAATAAACACCCGTTCAACATGTGGATGAATGCTGTGATGTCGCTTGTTGGGCAACGCGTTGCCGTCACCAATCCGCATCTCTCCGGTGGGCAACCAAGATCAAAGATAGAGACACGTGCGGGTTTGCCACCTCCAAGCAGTGGCGTTTGGCCAGCAAGTCTGGCAATCGCGCAACCCCCAGATACCAGTCGTTTGTGAGGTGGTCCACCAGCGCCAGGACACAACCACTTTACGTTCATCTCCACCGGAAACATATTGCAGCCAGCCGTCGTCGTGAAAAAAGAGGAAGGCCGTCAGAAAGGGCTCAGGCACACTACCACACCACCTCTGGCTGCAAAGGCAAAATTTTCTGGGACTTGGCGAAAATGAAGCAATGGGCTACTGTTGATAGAGTGGGAGGAAAGTGGCCCGCAATTAATTGATTGGCCAAACTATATAAAGGAACGTTCCAAAGAAAGGCGAAAATTCCGTGGTCGACCGATGACGTCATCCACGGTCACGAGATTCAAAATTTTCAAATTTTCAAATGTGCCGTCGATGACTGACTGATGACCTCACACGGCAGCCAAGAGGTATCAGCCATCATCATACACAGGTTTCCCACCACATACATACCTGATGATGGCGACCTCACATGCATCATCATGCCCTCACGGGTCCTTTTTTGAAGATTGGCCCCGAGTAGTGTCGGAGTTTCATGAGCTCTGCACCCTACATGTACAATGTACAAGAAGCAGCAGCAGCAGTAACGCCACAACCACACCACACCGCATCAAGCAGCGATTGTGGCGGTGCAAGGAATACCTAGTACGATTGACAATGGATCATTTAATCCTCTTCATGTGATCGAGTCGCACCCACACGACGACAGATCGATGTCGCCAACATATTCCACTTCAGTTCTGACTGACTGGGATTGTGCCCTCGGGGGAAAAGCCGAGAAAGGAGAAGTTGGTATTGATTGGCACACGCCAACACGAAGATGGAATGGTCGTATTCGACTCCTGCTGCTGTTACACCACAGTATTCCATCTTCAATCACGAGTGGTACTACGAACGATGTAGCCCACACGCAGAGACGCACATAGATGAGATGAGAGCGAGTCAAAAGGTACAGCAGTAGGCTGAAAGGCCGAACCAAAACTTGTACCTTATGCTGGAACCTGCTCAGCTGCTGTGCCCCCTTGTCGATTTCAATTGCGAGTTGGCTCACTCACGACGAACATGGCCGAACGCACATCCACGCATCCTCATCTGAGGAACCCAGGGTAAGGTTAGCGACGGTTGGAGCGATTTTGTGGGCGCTTATCGTGTCTCTTCTACGTTGCCAAATCAATTCATCAACAACACTATGTCGTATGCTGCATCGCCCAGCCTTTAGGTTCTGCCCCGTTGATTCAAATCGAGGTAAGCACGGCGGCGGCAGCGGGAGACATTGACGCGTCGCTCGTTGGGCACGAGAAGAGACCTTCCCACCTGTGTGTGACCGCGTGTACAAGTATACTCTCCTCCGAACGACCCGTGACGGAAGAGCGCGCCTTCCTCTCGTTGATACGGATGCGGTATATTGTTTGTTTGTTTTTCTCCCATCATTGGACTCTGTCGTCTGCCCCCCTGGCCCCTATCCTCCACTTCTACCAGCTAGACGACCCAACCGGGGTCACATGGGAGGGGGGTGTTGGACCCCCTCCTGCGGTTCCTGCCTGAGATATTTTATCGCGAGAAGGATACAGCAATCCCTTCCCTCGCGACTTATGAAGTCGATCAAGTTTACTAACAACGCGGTATATGGGTGCGTGTGACATCCAGACTACTGCCACTGGTGTATATGCTGCGATTCAAAAAGTTCTCCCGCAGATTGAAAATCCAGCATGGTCAACTTGAAAATATTTGAAAAATACGGTCGCTTCTAGGCCTGTCCTCCATCGGCCGTTTTGCTTGTATGACGGAGAATAAGTCGGTGGAATTACTTGAAATTAGTATAGAAATAAAGTTTGTGTATCTAAATCGAAAATAAAACGGCCGATGGAGGACAGGCCTAGTCGCTTCTCTTTACTCGTACCGCCGCATATACGAAAATTGGGGCGGCGTTTGCTTGCAACATGTCCGCACCCAAAAAAGGCCAGGCCGGGCTCAGATGTGTGACACATGCTTTGAACGTCAGCTTCAAGGCCCAGACTTGGGGATAGTCCAGCGTCGTCCGAGTCTTGGCGTGAATGCTGGTGATCAACCGAGGTTGATGTTCCAGGTCGTTGTCAAATCGACCTGGGGTTGAAACACCAACCATCGTACGCATCTTTCTGACATTACGTCTTCATTGTTCGCGTGGTCTTTGTTTGACAAATGTCGCAGAAGACGAGGGAATCAAGACAGCGGGCGGCTCTGGAGAAGACCGCAAAGGGTACGCCTACACTGAACACGTTCTTCGAGGTGCGTTTGCATTTGGAGGAGGAGGAGGAGGAGGAGGCTATATGACACAGCCTGCTAGCGTGTACAGCAGCACTCCCACGAGAGAGTAGTGAGCATTAATGTTGGCTCCCTTTGCCACATTGGTGCCGAGACCAGTGTTTCCCGACGGTTGCAGTAACAACAGAGCACTTGGTTGACACTACATCCTCGAGTGCGTCCTGGCTGCCCCTGCCCCTGATCCTGCCCGATCCCCTCAGCAACCGTTTGGCGTCCCCGACGTCGGTGAACATGCACGTGCCGAGGGCACCCAAACACCACCAAGCGCCGGCAACACGTTTCATGAGTGGAATCAATGGGACAGCAGTGACGCACGGGGCGGACCTGTCGCCGCCGAAGGAACGAGGAGGTATCTGTCGGCTGCGTCGTCGTCACTCTTCGTCGGGGACGTGTTGAAGGTGCGAGGAAAGTGACTAGGTTAGAGGCCTCAATAGGGTCGGATTTGGTCGGCAGGAGGTTGGCGTTGGGTGTCGTTAGTTGTGATTGGCGTCTACTTCACGCGGACTCAGAGTGTAACGTTAGTGGCCTGTGCTAGCTACACAACAGACGACAGCAGATATGGTGCTGTCGATGCTTACTTTCTATGATACCTGCAAGTTCGCGAGGATTTCACATTTTCCCGCTCAAACACAAAACAAGCCTCGCGTGGGTTTTCACTTTTGTGTCCACCTGTTGCGAACACCCCCCGCCCCCCATATCATCACTGTGCACGACCTCTCTGTGCCTTCCATTTGGTGCTATCCAAACGTAAAATGGTATGTATGTTTAGGATCTGCTGTACCACCGTGTTGGCGATTATCTTGACCTTCATGCACGCGAGCATGATCCAGGGCGAAACACCATCCAGCCCTAACTCTCATACTGAACTTACAGGCCGGCGACAAAGGGGATGACGATGTGCCGACGCCTGAGAGGTCGCGAGGGAAGGGCAAAGCCCGAGCGGCCAACGATCAACCGGGCAAGTGGGTGCGGCCCGCACAACACCCCGACGTCCGGGCTTCGATGGAAGAAACCAAGGAGGAAGGAATTCAGTATTATTCTGATTAATAATTAGAGAAGATTTCCCGATTAATCTTCTAGAACGTCTCACAGTGATTTTAGTTTTGTGCGAAACGGTTTCGAGTGCGGTCACCTTGCCCCCCTCCCCTTCCCCATCACTCGCTTCCCGCATTCCATTTGGTGCTCTCCAAGCAAAAATGGCGTGTCCTTTCGAGTAATGTATGTCGTTTCTGCCGTACCCGCGTAACTTTGTCCATACAACCATGGAAGCACCCAACAACCAAAACCTATCTTGTTGTTCTTTCATTCTCTGCACCCGTTCCATTCCGACCCGCCCCCGCCTTTCATGATACGAAAGTTCACCCGACGCAACCGCGGCATCCCGCTCCCTTGTGCATTTGATATATGTCGATATGATAGCGTGCAATGGACCCTGTGAATGCAATGCATATGTTGTTGTTTGTTGCTGTTCCTTTTATATCTTTTTGTCGTTTTCCCGACATCAGCCCATCGTTGTTTCGACACGGCCGTGGACGCCCAGGCCGAACTGGAGGTGCGTAATAATAATTCCTCGATTGTTTTTGTTGGTCACATTACAAGCCGCCTCCTTGGTAATCACGTTGTGCCCCGCACCCCGTCTACTCAGAGCATCCCCGCTCCCCTGTGTATTTGATACGTCGAGCAAAGCGTGCAATGGACCCGTGGGATGAAGTTTCCGCCCGTCGTGTTCGTTGCAGGCGTTTCTGATTGTGCTGTTGTTGTTGCTTCCTCAAACCGACTCCCTTCAATCCCCGTGTCTACTTGGACTCACCCGGCTTTCACATCGGCCCAGCAGCCGTTACATGGGAAAATGGAACAGACAACAATTCGGTTGGTGCGGGACCGAATGAGAACAAGGCCGTGGCGAAACGGAGGGACATCCCCGTCGATGCGGGTGACGAGGGGGGGGGGAGACGGGCAACAAGCGCGCTGTCAAGACACTCACCGAACGCGGTCTTTGTCTGGAGTACTCCGCCCTGGGCCTGGTCGCCAACCGCCAGACCGCGATCGACCTAGACACAGGCGCCATCAAGGTGGACCCTTCGCTTTGGTGTGAAAAACCGAAGCTCGGGGAGCGGGGGCTCACTAAGCGAGAGAGAGAGTGGAAACTGAACGAGAGCGGGAGCATGATTCTCGGGGAACACATTAGAAACGGCACGGTCGAGCACCCCGGTTGCCAAGTCGGGGGTACGGTCCCAGTGGTCTGGGACAGGGTGGGCGGGAGGTGACTTGTGCCGAAGTGGGCTCTGCCGTACGTCAAGGCGGGCAATGTGACTCGGAGGGGAACCAACAGCAGACAACACAATGGTGCCAACCAGAGGTACAGCGCCAAGAGGGCGGGGTGGAAGTAACAGGACTGGTTATCGCTTCCGCCGTGTATATACCATTCGTACAGGGGAGAAATTCTTAGAAGGTCGGCACACGGCCGATATTGGATGGATCGGTGGCCAGCTTGCCTTTTGCACCCCCCTTTCGATTCACCGATACTTTGATCCGGTCATCCACCCCCAAGTTGAACTAGCAGACTACCGTGTACAATTGATTGGTGCCGATACCAAATAGAAAAAGAAACACTTGGTTGTCGGTGTTGCCTTTGAATCGCACACCGCGTCATTTTTGTCACAAACGTGGGGTGGACAGAGAGAGAGATAGGGGGGGAGGGAGAGAGTTTCCCGTGGTCAAGTTTTCGACATATATTAATGTATAATGTATGGTCCATCCAAGACAATTTGTCCGAAGTTCAATCCGGCGTTTAGGTGCACTTTTCTCTGCACACAGGTGGTTGTTCCGAAATCCGAAAGTACCGGCAAACGCCCTGTTTCCAGGCGCATCGATCTACGGAAAGATGTTATTTTTTTGTTCCGCTTCTTCGTTATTTCCAAATATCCCGAATTATTGGCTTGGTTTTTCCTGGGGTGTGTTTTTCTCAGAGCACAGTTCTGAGACCGGATTTCGATAGCTCTCGAAAATCCCCGGGTGGTTTTTTTTTCCGATTTCGATTTGAGGACGAAAAACTAGATCCGGGGTCCCATTCGGCTTGGTTTTTCCTGCGATATTCAACGGTATGATTTTAAAATAGACCGCGGCAATCGATTCCTCGAAAATCCCCAGGTGGTTTTTTTTTTCGACTGTCGAAAAAAACTCCCGTTCGCGAGATATTTGTATTTTTGTTTGGCCGCCCAGCAAGCGGGGAGGAGTTTTCCCCCGTGGCTACGCGAGCCCCCACCCAGCTTGTGCGCAGGGCGCAATCCACCCCCACACGCTCTGCAACGGTGCTCAGCACCCAAATTCGTCATGGGTCGGCGGAATAAGCGCCGCCGCACACCTCAAAGGGGAAGCGGCGGCCAATTCCAGCGCCGTGAGTGCTCTGCGTCAGCTGCCGATCCAACAACCCCCGATGACAGCCAGGTGTCCAGTTGGTTTGAGTCCGTGTGTTTGATTCGTGGCGATCATGTGCAAAGCATTTTAAGAGATTGCGGTTTTTGTGGCATGCCTGCCGAATGTTTTTCGGATTGCCCTCGGTAGCTAGAGGGCAGCTTTACTTCGTAGTTCGGGCGCTAGTATCTGCTGCGGGTTCATTTTAAACGAAGAGTCGAGTGTTGGTTGTGTCATGTACAGCAGCAGTATGGTCCATCGTTTATGGGGTGGGTGTTTTGCGTGCCGTCATGGCGAGGTAAGCAGGGCCGTTGCACATTCA